TAATTAGTTACTTTTTTAGGAAGTAACGCAATATTGTAATGCATTACTTTTAAAAGTAACTTTCCCCAACACAAAGTGTGCCAAGAACATATCCCCCACACCAGTACACCACCATCACCAGCCTGAACTTTTGATACAAGGCAGGATGGATGTGTGCTTTCATGTTGTTTATGCCAAATTCTAACTCTACCATTTGAATGTCGCAGAAGAAATTGAGACTCATCAAACCAGGCAACCTTTTTCCAATCTTCTATTTTTCCAGTTTTGGTGAGCCAGTGTGAACTGTAGCCTTGTTTTCAGGAGTGGCACTTTGTGGTCTTCTGCTGCTTTAGCCCATCTGCTTCAAGGTTCAATGTGTTGTGCGTTCAGAGACGCTCTTATGAAATACTGAGACCAGCTCACAGTTGTCTGATTACATGGGGCCTAATAAATTTCACTAATGGCTCCAGCGTCAATGCCATCATTTCTCACTTAAGTGAGAAACACAGAAACGGGTGGGAGGAGTGAGGTACAAGCAGAAATATGCAGAAGTGCGATTCTCATTTTCACATGTCAACTTATTGGCCCAAAACACAAAGGGATTCTTACACTTGAGTCACATGTGACACACATGCAGTGATCACACACACACACAGCGCCATATCAAGTGTTAATAAACCCTTAAGAGGGAACTCATCCAGTATCACCAATTAAGGGGGCTTTGGGTGATTTTTGTGTGTGTTCATGTGTGAGAACATAAGTCAAATATCTCCCCCAGTTTACATGTCATTATGGATGCCACAGAGTAGTAAAATGTGTTAGATAGGACTCGATGCAATCTTATTTAGTCATAATTGGATATAATTGGATGGCTATAATTGGATTACACAAAATTACCTGGAGTAGCCTCAGGATGGGGCATGCATAGGGTAATGCATTACTACTAAATCAATGAGCAAATCTCTCTCACATACATTCATATTCATATGCACACACATAATCTTGTGTAAGTATACTGTGTCAGAGGCAGGGAGAATATATTTTATTTTATTTTATTTACTTCTTTTGTTTTGAACTGTCCCCTAAATCAGTCCAGCCTTAAAAATGTGGTATAACGCATCCAGCGGCAATATGGCAGTGTTAAATTCTTTGGTTTAATTTATGCTGAAAACTGAAAAATTCAAGTTATCTCTCACTTCTGCTCATTGTCATGCCATATGTATGTTTGATGGAAAGTGATGCATCGTCTTTGCAAAGTTTTCAGTAACTGAGGTCACTTTGGGTTATGCTTATGAAGATACGAAGTCTGATAAATGCTCTGTACTTTCAATGATCACTGACCATGAGACAGACAATCAAAGTTTCTTTTTAAAACATGGACAGAGGAAGCATTCAACCACTATTTTCTCCTTGATCTAAAGACTCAAAGGTGTGTTTGGGTGAGAGCGTGTAGGTGGGCGAGGGTTGAACGGAAGCAACCTTTGAATGCTGAATTTCATTGACACAAAGTGCAAACAAATAAAATATACTAAAAATAAGTGTACTATTATATGCCACATTTGGATATAGTAAATAATATAAGAAAGAAAGATGATGGTGATGATGATAGTGAAGGGGTTTTTCAACTGGCAGAACAAAGTCTGAACAATGAACATGCATTGAACTTCTTTGCATTCAGTCGTTCATTGTAATCTGAACACAATGTAATTCACATTATGTGAATCGATATTTGGTGACTGAATGAGACCAGAAATACAGTAAAAATTCAAGGAAATTAGGCTATAAGAAAGAAAATGAGAGTGATTCTGTGTGTGTGTG